ATGCAGGAAATGGGCCAGTAGAAAAAGGGTTATTGGTGAAACAAAGTCTGAAAGGGGAGGGAGAAGAGGAGTTCAGCTGTGAGTAGGTGGCAAGGTTTCCTCAAACCCAGGGAAGAGCTGGTCAGGAAAGGTCCAGATAAAGAGACAATAGGTATGGAGTAAAAGAAGGTTAAACCTAAGGAGATTGCTTGGTTTAGTGAAAAGAGAATGCTCCAGACTAGGAATTAACTTAGATTTCACTTTGATGCAAAACAGGATGAGATGTTGGCCAAATCACCTCCTATCCCTGAGTCCCAGTTTTCCCTGTTGCAGCACTATATTGAATAAAATTGTCTCAAAGGCTCATGTTGGCTAACACATGCCACAGGTTTAAGCTAAATTTTCAGGGAAATTAGGAGTACCCCGGTGGCAGAAGAGTCGTGTGTGCAATTTGATGGGACCATGTGGCTAGGATGTGGCAGGTGTGGTTGAAATAGGAAAAGGAAGGGGAGCCTGGGTGGTGCAGTCTTAAGCGTCCAACTCTTGGTTTTGGCTCAGTTCATGATCTCAGGGTTGTGAGATTTAGCCCCACGTTGGGCTCCATGCTCAGTGGGGAGTCTGCTTGAGATTCTCCCTCTGTCCCTCTCTCCTGTGCTCTCTCTCTTTCAATAAATGGGTGAATCTTTTTTTTTAAATATTTTTTTTTTTTAAAGATTTTATTTATTTATTCATGAGAGAGAGAGAGAGAGAGAGAAGCAGGCTCCCAAGGAGCAGGGAGCCCGATGTGGGACTCGATCCCAGGACCCTGGGATCATGACCTGAGCCGAAGGCAGACGCTTAACCATCTGAGCCACCCAGGCGCCCAATAAATGGGTGAATCTTAAAAAAAAAAAATAGGCAAAGGAAGACATGTTGGTCGTCAGTATGATGTGTTGGTGGTTTTATTCCGGTGCTGCTGATGGGGCAATTTGCTTGCTGTAGGATGACACAGCAAGCCCAATACTTGGCTTGGTGGAGACAGCAGCCACCAGCATGTCCCAGGAGACATTTTACAAGTAAAGGCTAATTTTACTTTTGCTGTTGATGGCATTTCTCAGCTATACTAATTACTATCCTGATAGAAACGCTTCAGAAATATACCCTGTGCTCCCAAGAGTGCAGAGGAGTAAAGAGGTTGTTCTTAAATAATCCAAGAAGAGGTTTTACCTGTGGATTCAAGCTACAGTGCTTCCTTAGTCATGGTTTTCTTAGTGGAAGATGCTCTGGCTTAAACAGAATTTCTGTGTTTGCCTTACTTTTAGATTTCAGAGTATGTGATCTATTTCCTATTCAACATCAATTGCAAATAAAATTATTGTAGGAAGGAAAATGATAGTTATGAATTAAATGTTGTATATCAGGGTCTTTTTTTAAAAAAATTTCATTTATTTATTTGAGAGAGAGAGAGTGTGAGCCAGGTGAGGGGTGGAGGGAGAAGCAGCCTCCCTGCTGAGCAGGGAGCCCGATGCTGGGCTTGATCCTGGGACTGTGGGACTCTGGGATCATGACCTGAGCTGAAGGCAGACACTTAACTGACTGAGCCACCCAGCCGCCTCATGAATCTCAGTTTTTTAAAAAGGTATATTGTAAACTTGGGAATTATGTTTTGCATTCTTCTCCTTCTCCTTCTTCTTCTTCTTTCTTCTTCTCCTCCTCCTCCCCCTCCTTCTCCTTCTCCTCTTCCCCCTCCTCCTCCTTTGCCCCCTCCTCCTCCCCTTCCTTCTCCTCCCCTCCTCCTCCTTCCCCTCCCCTCCTCCTCCTTCCCCTCCCCTCCTCCTCCTCTTCTCCCTCCCTTCCTCCTCCTCCTTTTCTTCTTTTCCTCCTCCTCCTTCTCCTTCTTTTCCCTCTTCCTCCTCCTTCTTCTCCTTCTTCTTTTGCTTTCTTCTTTAGTTCCTTAGTAAATATCTGGCTGTCCCTCCATCCATCCATCTACTTATTAAAATAATATCCCTGAATATAGTAATTGTTTAGTAAATAGCTATTAAGTAAAATGCACAAGTATATACAGAGCCAAGACCTCTTGGGCTTGGTGAAGTCAGGAGGCCTGGATCTAGTCCTCACTCTGCCATAATTTGGCTGTGTGACCTTGGGAACTAGTTGCCAGCATTATAAAGCTGGGAGACTTCATGTAAAACCTGGATTTCTGAATTTTTTCAACACTGGGCACGTCTGGTAGCCCTGAACCCAGTGAGCTGGAGCTAAACAGTCGTTGCTTACCTTAGCTGGGACGTTGTCTCTCCAGGTTCCTCTAGGCCACACCTTGGTTGACAGGTATACATTCTTAATTTGAAGGTTAAATGGAGAACATTTTCAAATTTAAGATGTTAATAAGATATGAGCATCTTTGGGTCTCAGAGACTTGGATGAAAATCCTGACCCTACTGTGGCGGCATCATCTTAATACTCCTCGCCTGTAGGAGTTTATCAGCCACCCACCCAGTCTTGGAAATGGGAAAGGACCTCCTTTTGATATTTGGGGAAGGAGAAATGGGTGAAGTGTGTCAGGCATTGGTTAATTCTTGAAAGTCAAAGGCAATTAACATGATTATGGGTGATGGTAGAAGTCTGGTGCCTGGCCTGGAGTAAAAGGGATCAATCATGTTTCCCAAATGACTGGAACAAAAAGGAAGAGAAAAGTATTAAAAATTCACCATAGATTAAGGTCTCACCCTTTATGCTAAGAAGGCAGATGCTGAGGCCCTTTTAGGGAATTTGCTTTGCAGGAGAGGAGCTGCCTTTGTTTGCTTTTCTGATGACTTGGATTTCTACAGCTGCTCATGGTTCTTGAACTTCCTGGAAAAAGTACAGGCAGATAGAATTGTGATGAAATCAGCATCCCAGCCCTATGTTTCCTAAGGACACTGTTGATTCCAATAGTATTTAGCTTAATTCCAGCAGCTGGCTTGGATTTTATATTGGGATAGATATGACAAGGGGTGTAGTGTGTATTTGTGTGTGTGTGTGTGTGTGTGTGTGTGTGTAGATCCAGTGCTATAATTAGAACAGGATAACCATTACAAAAAATTGATGGCTATTTGATTTGGGGGAGAAATGGCTTTAATTTCCCCAAGTGTTTCATTTTCTTGGTATTCTTCAAATGTGCATTATCATTCAGATGACTAATAGGAAGTTCAATACACTGGAGTACACTTTATAATGAACATTATTATTCTTTGAAAAAATTGAGCTTATTGTACACTTCCATCAGAAGGTAATATGAAGTTGTTAGGAGTTTGGGTGGGGATTTGGTGTCTGAATGCTACTGTTCTTTCTGCCCCTATCCAGGGTCTGACCAAAAAGGGATATATACCTACAGCCCAGCAGTCAAAAGAGAAACATGGTATGGCTTTATTAATCCCCGAGGATGGGCTCAGTATCCCTCCATGCAGGGATTTTTTTGACTAGTGAGAGAGCTTGCCATTCCCTCCCCATTAGACCTCCAGATGGCCATGCCTGCTGCATGTTGACTCCATATAGCCACCATGCTCAGGGGGAAATCAAGGTTAGCAAGAGGAGGAGGTTCTGCTGTGCTTACCACATGGATACCCAGAAGTGAAAGGGTAAAGGAAGATGGGCAGGGCCCTGTCTGTCCAGACAGGGAAAGCCCTGCTTGCTTTACTGGTCCCCTTAGCTGGAAAGTTGGGTGGATGGCAGAACTGTTGGGTGGATGGCAGAACTGCCTAAGAAGGCTGTGTTTTCAGCAGTGGTCACCGTGGGAGAGCAGGAAGCAGATGAGAGGTGTGGGGCCGCTTGCTCTTTTGGGGCTGCACAAGTGGAAAAGAGGATGTGGGGCATGGCTGTGTTCCTTTTGCTAGCACCCACATTCCAGTCAATGTCCTGGTCACTGGTCAATCATATTGGCACTCCTTTTTGGGAGTGGGGCCAATGAAGACTGTCAGAGCGGTGTAAGTCAAGGATGATGGACATTACCTTTTGATGTCTAACATCTTCATAAGAAATTGGGAAATAAGTTTTGTCACAAATTTCCACACATAATGATAAACCCTGCTAATGTGTCTATCAGGTTTTTTTTTTCGCTAGGCACTCCCATATTCTTGATTTTATAATTTGCCCTTTATCAATAGCTAAATAGATATTAGAATAACATAACAGTAATAACTATATTTATTGAGAGCTACTGCATACCAGTCACATATATTGACTCACTTGTTCCCCAAAATAACATAGTGAGGTAGTTGTCATTTCCTTTCTCATTTTGCAGATGAGAAAACAGAGGTACACAGCTAGCAAATGGCAGAACAAGGACACCAACATAGGTGGTCAGGTTCTAAAGTGCATATATACTTCTGTCTCTGGAAGAGGTGGGTTAAGAAGAGGATGCTGGCCCAGGAATTGGGAGACCAGCATGTAGTTTAGAGCCTGGCTTGGCTCTGCCACAAACCTGTTGTGTGATTGACAGCATGTTAATGAATTCCTCATTTTGAACCTCAGTTTCCCCGACTATAAAGGTAGGATGTGATTTCTATTCAGGGTTTTTGGGCACAAGACTCACTGTATCAGCTTCCTGGGGCTGCTGTAATAAATTACCACTAACTAGGTGGCTAAACTTCACAGCAGAAATTTATTCTCTCACAGCTGTGGGAACCAGAAGTCTGAAATCAAGGTGTGTGCAGGGTTGGTTCCTTCTGGAGGCTTGGAGGGAGAATACATTCCTTGCCTTTCTCTTAGCTTCTGTTGGCTGCCAGGAACCCTTGGCATTCCTTGGCTTGTAGACACATCACTCAATCTTTGCCTCTGACTTCACATTACCTTCTCCCCCGTGTCTCTGTTTCTCAAATCTCTGTCTGTCTTCCTCTTATGAGGACACTTGTCTTTGGATTTAGGGCTTGCCCTAAATCTGGGAAGATCTCATCTCAAGATCTGTAACTTTAATTATATCTGCAAAGACTCTTTTTCCAAATAAGGTCACATTCACAGATTCAGGAGGTAAGGACTTAGACATATCTTTTTTTTTTAGAACATCTTAAATTTTTAATCCTTTCTTTACAGGTTACCTAGACCACTTTTGATTAAGAAAACTGTACAAAGTTAGTAACTGCCACAGGCAAATGCCAGGCGGCAGCACGTGTCAATTTTCCACAGGGTCCTGCTTTGCGGGGTGTCTGAATGCGTTGCTCGGGGTCTCTGCTCACACTCGCTGGGATCGGTCGCGGCAGAGTTTAGTCCACAGGTCGCTTCTCCCCGTATTTCTTTGTAAACTCTTCAGTGTTCTTACAGAATTTTTTACGGTCCTTAGAGTATTCTTCAGATAGGTCAGCCCGAAGTGGGTGCTCAGGCTGGGGGTCGTTCACCAGTGCTGTGAGGGACTGGATTACTTGGTCGGTTTTGGTTGCTGGCTTCCAGTTTTCAGCACTAATTACTGGCAGACAGACCTGCCTCTCATTGATGTTCGGGTGATAGATCTTTGTTTTAAATGTGATCTTCGGTGGTTTAAATGGGTACTCTACTGGAAAGTTGATTTCAATTCTGAAGGCCCCCTTATCAAATGGAGGGTTGTCAGGAACAATAAGCCCTTGCCAAGTCAATAAATTAGCTTCATCAACCTGGATGTTAGGGAAGTCTTTCATTCCACATTTGTGGATTTCTTCAAGCTCCTTCATCAGCCTCCTGCTGGCCGCCATCTTGGATCTGGTGCTGCTGCTTTTCCCAGGACTTAGACATATCTTTTTTGAGGCCACTGTTCAACCCACTACACTCACAATCCAGCTTTTTATCTGCTGCAATATGACGATGACAAAAGATATTGGAAAGGAAAGGATTAAAGCTAGGTAATGGCTAACACCTCCTGGGCAGATTGATGCAGTGGGTAAGAACATAGTATGTGGAGTCAAGACCCCTGGTTTCAAGCAATGGCTCTGCTACAATCAGCCGTGTGACCTTGAACAAGTCACTGAATGCCCCTTGGCCTCAGTTTTCTACTCTGTAAAATGGAGCTAGTAATAGGAACATTACAGGATTATTAAGTGAATGACCGTAAAGTGCTTAGAACAATGTTATGTTAGTGTTAGCTGCTATTATTATTGTTGTTGCTGTTGTTACTTCCATTTAGAAGTTAAGTTTATGCCCATGATTTTAATAGAGAAATAAATTTTACAGGGATGCATTTAAAATATGGCAAGGAACAACCCACAAGCATGCTATTTTTCCACCATATTTTAAATTAGGATGTCCAAATGTGTCTGAAATGTGAGGATTATACTTTCCAGCATGCTGAAACAATTTTTGGCTTAATCTTTTTAGACCTCAAATAAGCTGAAAACGGAGCGTGGCTGTGCTCACACTGGAAGAGGCGGGCAAGCAGATGGAAGGTGGCTGAGGGAGCATTTTGATGTGCTCATGGAGGAGGCGTTAATATTTCAACATCTTTCTTGTTATTTACAGATAATTTTAATGATAAATTTTCAGAGATGCTCAGTTTTTTTTTTCCTTTTCTCTGAGTGGCACAGAGTTGTAGCAAATCAATCTTTTAATAAGAAGCTGAAGAACTTAGCAGTCTCCTGTGTGGAGACTGACTGCAGTTCGATTTTTGTATCTAAAATGAAGTTTAGTTTTCTGGATCCTGATTTTATTTTCTGTGATAATTCAGCGCCTTGCAAAATTCACCCAATAGCCTAGAGTCAGCAGGAGTGATTATTGGCCTAAGTTTTGTTTTAAAAATAGATGAGCTAATTGCTTTGTATTAATATTATATTCCTATTCTATTTTAAGCAAAGAGGAGACAGAGTTGAATAAGAGAGTCCATAAATTCTTCAAAGGCGGATTTGTAGTGGAGGACGACCTTCAAATAAACCATCACAACATAGTATATGATAGGTGCTCTGACTGAGGTGTGCTGATTGCTTGAAGTAGTCAAGGAGAAGTCTTCCAGAGGCAGATACACCTGCATTTAAATTTTGCCTCTAAAATAAAAATCGGCCACTTGGTCTCTCTTTGAGTTTCTATTTTCACATCTGTAAACTGGGGTTATTTTACTATTTTTCCAATAGTGAGGTTTAAATGAGATAATATACACAGTGTTTAGCATGAAGGTTGGCCCATGGTAAGTGTCCAGTAAATGTTAGTCATTATTACTAGAGGAATAAAGTATCATGGGAAGAGCTGTCTATGGAGTAATTTTGTTAATTTATTCATATGGCTTGATATTTCTGTATCACATTGCATGGTACATTTAATGTGTGCATGCTTTAATACCTGTCTTTAAATCTTTCACCAAAGTTCATTTACTAAGTTTATATTCTATATCACATGGACATAAAATCAGTTTGCTCTATATATATCCTGAAATTTGACATTTTGGATACAGCTTTGCACATAATTTTTTAAAAAGCCATCACTCTAATTACAGGCACTGATAGATACTTAGACACTTGAAAAGGATATTCTGTTCCATCTATAGGGAACAGAGCCTCACTCAGACCAACTCGAGTAAATGAGGCTCTGTTTTAAGAAAATAAGAATCAATTAATCATAGTGGTTAATAGTACAGACTTTTGAAGTCCCAGGTCTGCCCATTATAGCTTTATTATGACTTTGGGTAAGTAACTCAACTTCTTGGAGATGCCTCTTCAGGTATAAGCACGGGGATAGTGATTCTTGCTTCAGTACATGCTGGTGAAGACAATGTGAGTTAGCATGGAAAGCCCCTAACGCAAAGCACAGAGTGTTTAATAAATGATATTATGACTCAAATGGTATTAAGAGGGCTAGATTCTTCCAGAAATCTGATGATAAGAACCAAGGTCTAGCTGGGGCTTGGAGTTGAGAACACATGGGCACACTAGACGCAGAGGAATAAGGGCTTTAAATATTTACTCGGGTTCTGTTATTTTTTTTAAATTTTTTTTTTTTTAAAGATTTTATTTTTATTTTGAGAGAGAGAGAATGAGAGACAGAGAGCAAGAGAGGGAGGAGGGTCAGAGGGAGAAGCAGACTCCTTGCTGAGCAGGAAGCCTGATGTGGGACTCGATCCCGGGACTCCAGGATCATGACCTGAGCCGAAGGCAGTTGCTTAACCAACTGAGCCACCCAGGCGCCCCACTCGGGTTCTGTTATTAACCTATCTTCTCCACAGTTACTTTTCGGTCCCCGCGCACGCTTCTCCTCACCTCTAACTGGTTTGTTCTTTTCACTGTCCGGGTTAAGTTCCCTGCGGAATCTGATGGGCTCCTCTAAATGCCACGCCCCCTGGGTGAGCCGGAGGCTTGCACTAGGCGCTGTCTCGGGGTGCGGGCTGGCCATGGATTGGATGTGCTGGGGTCACGTGCCAGCCTCTGGACCAATGAGCAAAAGCTGGTGGGTCCGGGCCGCAGAGCCCCCGTGCCTCCTCTCAGCTAACAGCAGAGCACTGCGAAGGGTGTGTGAACCCACTGGTAAAGATTTTGGTGACTTGATTGGTACATCACATGGCTGGAAAAGTTCGTGAATCTGGAGGTGCGATGTGGCCCGGCCCGCGCGCTTTATCCTGTTCCCATCCCTTCTGTCCCTCAGCGACCGTCACACCCACGGCCCTCGCTTCTCAGGCATGGCCGCAAGTGGTGCTTAGGACCTCTGCCTGCGTTGCTTCTCCCACCTTAACCCGCTTCTCCCACCTTAACCCACTCCTCCCGCAGGAAGAGCGGACTTCTGTCCCCCCAGGTTCCAGCTCGACGGCACCTCCTCAGAGAGGCCCGCCTTCCTGACGGTGTGTGAAGGAGCCTGCCAGCCCTACCTCACCACCCCGTTTAGTTCTGTCGCGCATGTAACCAGTTTCCTTGTTTGCTTATTCCCTTGTTACCTGTCTGGTAATAGGTACATCGAGTCTGTTCCTCACATATTTCTAGAATGCCTCCATCGGAGCAGGGACTTGTCAGTACATTTGTTTTCAAAGAATGAGCATGAACTAAGGTATCTACCGTGCAAATACAATAAATGAGCTATGGCTGCCCTGGCATTGTGGCCACTATAAAGTGTTTGTGTGTGTGTGTGTGTGTGTGAGAGAGAGAGAAGGAGGGAAGGAAGGAGGGAAGGAAGGGAGGAGGGAAGCAAGGAGAGAAGGATGGAGGAAAGGAAGCAAGAAAGAAAAGGAAGAATCTCCAGGGAACCTCTGTAGTCCCTCATTGTGCCTTTTTCCCTTTCTTAACCTAGATTACTTGGGTTCAAATCTTGTTTCTTCCACTAGGGGCCTCCAGTTGTGATTCCTTGGGCAAGGAACTTAGTCTCTCTATGCTTCAGTTTCTCATCCATAAAATAGGGATAATAATGGCACCTATCTCGTAAGACAGTGTGAAGATGAAATTAACTGAATCTTATAAAATGCTGAAGCAGAGACCGGTACAGAGTAAGGTAGCTCCACCCACATTAACAACTGTTAGGGTGAAGTGCTGGGGAGCTGTTGAGGTTACGGTGATGAGTTGAGGACTGGGATCTGTGGCCCACCAAGACTAGTGGGGTGAGGTGGACATTATTCCTTTACTTGCACAAAAATACATCACTATAAAATATGTGATGCTCTGAAGGATGTTCAGGGTGCTATGAGCAGTATAAGTGCAGGAACCTCATTTGGATTTGCCCTGGGGGCTGGTCAGGAAGTCTTCCCAGCTGAGGTGACATTTGAGCTACAATGTGAAGACAGAGAGTAGGGTTTAACGAGGCCAACAATGAGGGGGTAGCTGGCGGTGCAGCAATCGTGTCTGCAAAGGCTCAAAAGTGAAAGACAGCATGATGGGAGAGCAGGGAGTTTGGGAGATGACTAGTGATGAATGATATCTCATGTGGGTATTATTCTCATTTTGTAGAGAGGGAAACTGAGGCTCAGGGGCTATCTACTCAGAGTTTCATTCCAGGGTGTTGCCTGGGCTCCATTACAGGGATTCTGATTCAGTTGGGAATCAGAATTGGGCTGTACACTCTAATGTGCAACTGGGATGGGAACGGCTGCTCTTGGTTTGTTAGAAATGCAGACTCTTAAACCTCAGCCCAGATCTAGTGAATTGGACAGAACCTGCATTTTAACAAGATCCCCGGATGATGTGTGTGCACAATGAAAGGAGAAGCTCTGGTTTGCACATAGACTCACCCAATGTTGGTCAAAAGAAGCAGTCAGTTTCTTCATTCTGTTCTCAGATATGTTGATTCAGAAGGTCAAACATAGGGCCCAGAAATCGGCATTCTTAAGAATGTAGTTCAGAAGCAGTTGATCTAAGACCAGATTTAAGAACATGCTCTTGAGAATGTCAGGATGAGAGTTGGGATAGGAGTAAGGCCATGAGAAGGATGTGGACTTGAACTTAAACCTGAAAATGCTTCTGGCCTTATGAAGTCTGGGGCCTCCCTTCGGTGAATCCATCTGCAGAATTCAAATACTTTTTGAACATCTAAGCTTTAAATAAAACTTGGGAAAAGGGCAGTGGTCACACTAGGGATACTAATGGCTTATTAAATTTGAGGGTTGGTGGAAGTTGTTGAGGGTAGCAAGATTAGTGGTCTGGGTTCCTCTGGAATAGTTTTTATCAGCTCCTGAGACCAATTGTTTTATGTGGCTCAGAATAATAAAAAGACACTTATCCTGTCTGTCTTAATTTTCCAGATGGCCTCCAGGAAAATTTCCAAGCAGAAATCACATTTATTTAGTTCAAGAACCTACTGGGAAGAT